AATTGTTATACAATATATTTATTATACAATATATATATATATATATATATGTATATTTATTATACTTTTATTTATTATACAATATATATATATTGTCGTTCTTCCGAGTAGTCGTTCAGATGAGAATTTTAAATATTCCTCGAGCACGCGAATACGCGATGCTCCGGTAAACACGACCGATGAACTAGCTGCGTAGCTTCCCTTAGATAGCACGAAACAACCGCGTCTTATTACGGCATATGAATATTTCGGAAACCATTCTTTGCAACGACCCGAACGGAAATGGAAATGGAAATTTTCCAAAACTCTCGGAAAATATCAGGCTACTAACCGCGTTGCGAGCTATCCGCTGACTGTCTGTCGCGACAACGTTACGAGAACATGCTTCTAAACGGGAACGACTCTTGTTCTCAAGAACTTTGCATTTTTGACACGCCAGTATTCGCCAGAGAGTTCGAGCCGCTTTCCACGATTCTAATACTTCGTGTTCACGAGGCTCTTAATAATTTGTTATTGCGATTCTTGCACTCTCGAAGCCCTTAACCTTTCAGGTACGGCTGAATTCTGCGCGAGGCTATTTTCCTGGACGGTATGATGATACTGTATGTATTCCGTCTGTATATTGTTAACGCTGTTGTAAATCGATGTGAAGACAAAATAAGTACGAAATAATGCATATGGAGACGATTATTTAATTCAAACGGTGAACGAGTGAGCTACTAGAGTGAGCGTCGTGCCTAAGAGGTTAAGAATGCCTCTGGGAACTCGAAGAAGAAACGTCAATATTTTATTGTAAACCGGTACAGTAAATTCTCCCTAATTGATGTTCACCTTGGAAACAAAAATGGACAATTTGGAAAGGGAAAATACTATTATTCAAGGCTCGAGGCTCGTTCTTATAGCTACCGATTGTTAAAAACTATAAAAACGAGCAGCAAAGCTCGGTTAAACCTTCTCTTCCGAAATTTTTCTATTTTTGTATCCAAGCTGAGCGTCAATTAGGGAGAATTTTCTCCGATCAGACGTTCGTTGTTCTAGTTTTCCATGTTCGATCGTTATTTTCTGATCTGTTTACATGAAGATAAATAAATAAATAATTCGCCGCGCACGCGGAGCATTAAGAAATCGAATCTATCAGTAAAAACGCAGCAAGTGAGAATTTCGAAAAATTTAAGTTAACGAATTCGTTGAATTGTAGCATGCAGGATTTACGAATTTATCAGGGAAAACATCGCGCAAACAGATTCTACGGAATCGACGAAATTATGCAGTTCGAAACACAACTAATACGAAGTGTTGCGTCCAGAGACAAGGGCCATAAAAAGGTCCCACCATTGGGGAAACCCTCTCAGGCCCCAACAAGGGTCAAGGCAGACACCCCCCTCCAAGGGGTGATTCGTGCCTTGACCAATAATAAACAATCTACCTCCATCCACGGGTGCTCTTCCACGACTTTCCAGCGTTGGAAGAGCATTCTTCCACCAGCGCTCGCAGAGAGTGCAACACAAAAAATAAAGTTCTCCAAGACTACTAGAGACCCTTCCACGTCATTAGTTTGCCGTAGGAAGCGCGAATCGAGCGTACAATAGTTCGGTCGCGCATGTACGTTAGGCGACTAACCGAACGTACGGACAAAACACGAAGCATTTGGTGATCAGAACTTTAAGCGACAACATCTCGGAAGTTAAAACATGTGATTTGCTGCGTTCCTTTTTACAGCCGCAGAAATACACGACGTGTTCTTCTGCCGTAGGTTTTTACGATTAAGGGACAGGAGATGGCTCGCAAGATTAGAGATGGAAAACTTACTTGAACGCGATGGTTCGTCGAAATTGCTTTAGCGTGGGCTTTCAGCAATTTCGCATGCAGTAATTCGACGCAACACTATTTTCCTAACCGGATTGCGGTGGTTTGCACGTTTCGACGACAAATTAGTGAAATGTAATAACATTGATGTAATTTATGTCCTATTTCCGACAAAGGGAAGCTTTTACACGGGAAGATAAATTTCTCCCCTGTGCTGCTGGTTTGCATGAAATATTCTGTGAAAATGAGAATCTCCATAAAGATTCACGGTCTACCGATAACATTGATATTTTGAATGCGTGGAATACAAATGACCGGCGTTCCCCGCGAAGACCGAAGAGCGAACATTCAAGGACCGTTGCAGAAAAACACGGAAGTTGCAAGGAGTCGGTTCGCGTGGGTGGATCGCGGCAGCCGGGCATCAAAAATTACTTTATCCGAATCTCCCTTTTGATTCTTTCGGGATCGCTCGGTTTCCAGTTAGTTTAATCGGATAGCTGCTCGGCCGGATGTTCCGACGGCAAAAAGGATTATCGAAACAGGATTAAACAACGGCTCCGTAGGAATCGGTTCAACCGCCACCGTCGCGGTACGTGTCGCTGCAAAACAGATACACTCTTGCCCGGTCGTTAAAAGCTTTTACCATCGTCGGCGCACCGACGCGACGCGACGCGACGCGCAAACGACCACCGCGGAAAATTTTACAAACTCCGTAGAAGAGGATCAGTTTAATTCGAAAAGTTCGAAATCGCTGATTAAGCCCGCCGGCCCTCTCGTGAATCCAAACGTTCTAATTATTTTATGCCGAGGCTCCCCGAGAACCGGCGAGGGACTCGAAAACGCGTGCCAGACTGTGCCGTGCTGTTTTTCCGCGGGTCGCCATAATTATGACGAATATTTCTCTAGCCGGCTGCGCGGACCGAATGCCCTTGGTGGGACCTCTTGGAAAGCCCTTGAGGGCTCTTCGGGCTCCGGGGAGCCCTCCCGACGTAATTCTCATAATTGCGGGGAACGTTCCGTCTGTGATCTCGTGCTCGCGACTCGACCGCGAAAGGGGTCCGACAAAACTTTGAATTTTCGAGGCCCGCGATGCGACTAATAAAGATGACAATACGGCCTTGGCTGCTGTTCCGAGAACAAATCCTCAGATATTCTCCTCTCTTTCTCACAGAAGCAACAACTGTTTAAACCGATTACTCAGCCGTGTCAATCGAAATTTCCATTCCCTCGATTTTTCTTTCTAATTCCTTTATAATGATCATAATTTATTTATTCACGCATCAGAGTAAAAAGCTCTTTGTTACTGAAGAAAGAATAAGAAGAAAGATAACGGTCGCTTTTTAGTAGGCGAACGTGCTTCCGTGATTTCGAGGTGAACCTGGTTTTTTGTTAATAGAAATGTATATTTCTCCACGTAAGCAGATAGCGAATTTCGAGGTCAATCGATTGACCTAGATACTTCGTTCCTTGAAGATCGTTCAAGATCATTTAATGTAGTCTAAAGTTCATTGAAACGTTCTGCCATCACTATTGTACGCAGCCATCTTTAATTCTTGTCTTACCGTCATTAGCCCTAGAAAGATGACCATATGACAACGTACGTAAAAGATAACCATACGCTTCAGAGGCGCATGCTTTTCTAAGGCGTCAATTTTATACTAACAATGGATATTTATTTAAGTTAATCTAGTCATTTTAAAGGTTTGGCATTATTGTAAAAATAAAATGCATTTATATTATATTTTTTTATATTTTAAGTAATTTTAAACTTAAATCACTAGACCTCTATGAAAAATTAACAAAAATCAACAGTCTTCGCAGGCGCCACTGCGACGTAGGTTATCTTTCTCGGGTTAGTGTCACTAGTGTTACAGTAATGTCTCCCTAACTGACGCTCCAATTGTGCACAAAAATGACAATTTGGGAAGAGGAGATACGATTATTCGAGCCTTGCTCGTTTTCATAATTATTGACAATTCGTAACTATAAAAACAAACCGCAAGGCTCGAGAGACATTACTGTACCACCATTATTATTCGTATTATTGTTATTACGCACTCGTACGATGCTCTATGTTGTTACACTTTTTGCAACAAAGGCCCGTTTACACGAGAAATAAATGAAATAAATAAAAAATGCGATGTATCCTCGAATCGGCGAGCATCGTTTCCCCTTTGAAACGGGTCCAGAGAAGTTCTTGCGGCTGCGATTCCTCTCGCAGTAGCTGCGAGAGTCGAAATATCCGCGGACGATCGAAATTGTGATCTGTGCGAGGCGTCGTCGTCGCAGTTAGCAGAGGGTAAACGAACGGGTGCTTTCTGATTGCAGAGCCAGTTACAGAGATCGCCGGTGGTCCGGATTTCTTCATCAACAAGGGCAGCACGATAAACTTGACGTGTCTGGTCAGTTACGCTCCGGAGCCGCCGTCCGCGATCATTTGGAGCCATAATCACGAGGTAAACGGTCCGTTGGAGGCTCGCGAGCGCTCTCGCCGAGATCAAAGCGACCCACGCGGCTCTCAGACTCCCTCTCTCTCCTTCTCTTTCTCCCTCTGCCGCGATACTCTCGCGGCAACCTGGAAAAAAGCTCTCGACGCTCGCAGAAAGATACTCTCTGCTCTCCTCGCGACTCCTCGACCCGTTAAAAGAATCGCCCGAACGACCGCCTCCATTGTTAGACCGTAGTATCGAGAGTGTCGCAGCGAGTCGTTATTCATGGAAACCTAACAAGCTACACCGATTGTTCGGCGGGACAACGGGACAGAGAAAGGTGGGGAATACCGATAGGTGGAGCGTAAATTATTCACGGTTGGAACGAAAGTCGGAACGATCGTAGGAAGGGAATCCCCGAGAGATTTATCACGGGAAGAAGCTCTTGGGACGTTCGCAGCACGATCGCCGCGATCGAATGATCGAAAGGGGACAAAGGTTAAACGCGGAAGCACCTCGAAACGGCCGGGGACGCATTAAAAGCCGTTCTATTTTCTTTCGATTCGGTCTTTACTTTCTCGGGGCCGGCACCGCGAAGAATTAAACGTTTCTTCCACGGCTGCGCCGACCCTGGAACTCTTCGAGGTTGACGTTGCGAACCTCGTTACGGGTAATCGGTCCCAGCGCGGCTCCTCCACTCGACTCTGTACAATAATCTTTCCCAGGAATACGGGCGCACGGTTTTGTCTCGCGCTTCGAGATGTTGAAACTTCCGCGAAATTGAAAATAGAAGACCGCTGCCGGCTTTTACTTCGAGGAGACGCGTGACCGGACCCCGCAATGACATTTTTAGTGCTTTCAACCGGGAGGGCTAAGGTTCGCGGAACCTTCCAACCATCTCGACAATCGACCATCGCGGTTCGCGGAACGATCTTTTAAATTTATAGTTCAACCGGGATAAATTTTATTTGATTTCGTTTGTTTTTTTGTATGTACGGGTGAACGCTGGTTTTTACAGTAACGGATGAGAAACATGTTAATGGAAACAATTTGGGTAAGCAGTTTATGGAAACTTGTTTGGAGTTTTGTGACATTTTGTGACGCTGAAAATATGTTTATTTTATCATTGTTATCGTTGACGAGTTGAAATATTCTGTGTACAATTAAAGTAACAAATTCGAGTCAAAATAAATATAGTTGGAAATTTGAGCACGGTAGAACGAGTGATATACAAAAACAAAGAGCTAGAGAGATCTTTTCTAGCTGAAGAAGTTCACCGTACACTCTATGGCAGCAATAATTGTATAAATCAACTACTCGCTACTGCTAATCGCTTTAATGTTCTCTTAATTAATCTCCATAATTAATGTTCTTAAATTAATCTTCTTTAATGTTTGTCGCTCACTTTATACCTTTAAAAATTCAGCATTATCCTCGGTACGTCACGCTCAACGCTTTTCTCATTATCCACGGATTTATGTTATTTTACTTTATAATAATAATAATAATAATAATAATAATAATAATAATAATAAGAAGAAGAAGAAGAAGAAGAAGAAGAAGAAGAAGAAGAAGAAGAAGAAGAAGAAGAAGAACTTTATTAATCAACGAGATAACCTTCTATTATGGTGAGGGAATAGTAACGTGTCAGTCACACAAAAACAGATCAAATACAACATAAAAATAAAAACTTGAATATAAAATTCTAGAAAGAAGAATACATGAAATTTAATTATACTATGCAACCGGGGATTAAATCGAATGGCGAATAGCATAAGCGGCAGAATGCTTGAAGAAAATGTAGAAATTACAAAAGAATTCTAGTTAATCGCACTATCGGTTTTAAACAATAAGTAAACGGTTTAGACTATCGAAGAATCCATGCATTTTCTTTGTCATATCGTATCCTCATCATTTGTTATAACAGTTCTCTTTTTCTTTTTTTTTCATTCCGTTAATCGAATAAACATTGTTACTATTATTATTATTATTATTTCTAAAAAACGACGTCCGAGTGCTCTTCACCAAGAACAGACTCGACAGAAACGAGGATTATGTTAGCCCGAAGCACGACGATAACCGAATAGGTCGTGAAACCGCGTCGCGAAGTAGCTTGCAATAGAGTTACCAAAGATACGGTGGAAACAGCCGCGGACCACGGACGTGTTTTCGATGCATTCCGGTTCGATGCATCCCGGTGTCACCGGTTGTCCACTGCTGGTTCGCCAGTAGCACTGTCCGCAACCAGACAACGCGAGCCAGCTGTTCGTCTTGTTTGTTTCACAGACGATTAACTTCGAGACACCGAGGGGTGGCATCAGCCTCGTCACCGAGAGGGGGCCAGTCACTTCGAGCCGTTTGCTCATTCAGAGGGCGACCAAGGAAGACTCCGGCCTGTACACGTGCGCGCCGGGAATGATGCACCCTGCCAGCGCGAGAGTCCACATCGTCAACGGTAAAAGAAACGCGTTCCATTCCATAAGCTGGATAATGGAAATGGATGAGAAAGAATTCATGCTGTAGCGATTATTTTAAGGGGTCGCCGTGGTGAAATGAACAACGCACAACTTAAATAACAACGACGAAATGACAAGACGACAAGACGACAAAACGACGAAACTACAAAACGACAAAACGATGAAACGACAATACGACGAAACGACAAAACGACAAAACGACAAAATGACAAAACTACAAAACTACAAAACGTCGAAACGACGAAACGACAAAACGAAAAAATGACAAGACGACAAAACGTCAAAACGACAAAATAACAAAATGACAAAACGACAAAACTACAAAACGATAAAATGATAAAATGACAAAACCACAAGACGACAACATGACAAAATGACAAAATAACAAAATAACAATATGCCAAAACTACAAAACGATAAAACGACAAAACAACAAAACTACAAAACGATAAAACGACAAAACAACAAAACTACAAAACAATAAAACGACCAAACGACAAAACGACAAAATGACAAAACTATAAAACGTCGAAACGCCAAAATGACAAAACGACAGAATAACAAAACGACAAAACAACAAAATGACAAAATGATAAAATGACAAAACCACAAGACGACAACACGACAAAATAACAATATGACAAAACAACAAAACGTCAAAATGACAAAACGACAAAACGACAACGCCTTCATTCGTTCACGCCTCTGTTCTGAATGCCCGACTTTTTCCGTTCCAATCTTCCACCTTTCAAATCTTCTCCCTCATTCTCTTCACTGCATTTTCTTACCACTGTCTCTCTCTTTTGCATTCACTTTATCTCACTCGTTGTCTCACTCTTATTAATTCTCCCTGTTTCTCTCTCTGTCTCCCCCTCTCTCTCCCTCTCTCTCCCTCTCTTTCTCACTCGCTCACTTTCTCGTGCCCTATCTTTCGGCTACGTAGAACTTCGAGGAACCCAAGCAGTAAGCTCGGGTTAGGGTTGAAACACACTTACATGCCAGGCTCGATCATGCTCCAAGGCCGAGATATTCTTTTATTTGGTTTACATTAGAGTATTCACACTATGCGTGCCGCTTTCGTGCCGTGTCATGCAGTCCGGCCAATACTGTTGGCCTATCACGCTGAAGCACGACCGATCCTGCCATGTAAGTGTGTGCGGCGACTACCTCAAGACTCGCCAACAGATGGCTCTTCTTCCCGCAAGTAACCAATCCGCCTCAATTTCTACATACAAAGTGTCTCAAAATTATCGTGTTTCCAAGAAATGAGGGATTCCTGAGGTCATTTGAAGTAACTTTTTCCTTAGCGAAAATGTGATCCGCGACTTTATTTACGAGTTATTAACAAAAAAAAACACTGACCAATGAGGGGCGAGCTCGGCTGACGCGGGGCGGCCGAGCCAATGAGCAGAACCGGGCTTCGTCCGTTCGTTGGCTCGGCCGCTTCGCGCCAGCCGAGCTTGCCTCTCATTGGTCAGTGTTTTTCGTTAATAACTCGTTAACGATGATTCGGAGAAATATTTTGTAAAGGAAGAAGTTGCTTCGAATGACCTTAAGAATCTCTAATTTCCCGGAAGTACCATAATTTTGGAACACCCTGTATACAGACTTCGTCCTTCCTACCGACATCCCAACGTCTTCCCTCTCCTTTTCTCCTTAACATCGTCACGTTCAACCATCGCCAAATGTGTTTCGACCTTTACTCGATACTCCTCGCAGTTCCAAACACTCTCCAGGTATCCGTCCCATTCATTCAGTAATTGAGCCGTTTATTTTGAAAGTGGCATAAGTCACTTTACCGTAATGAAAAGTGGTGATTTTTGAATGTTTATACGAAATTATTTATACTGAGAAAAATGTCAGTATCCTGAGATAACAAATACAAGTGAATCTTCTCGAAAGTTAGCATCCATATTTTTAAACGTGTTCAAACGCAAACCCTTAAATATTTCGACTTAAAAACAAACGAAGTGACTTATGCCACTTTCAAAATAAACGGCTCAATTTACGACACTCGCTCTTGTTCGCCCTGCCTTTGATTCCCGGAAATACCGTACAGTACGTTTCTCGGAGCAAGAAACACGTTTGCTTTCGCAACGAAAATTTTTAATGTTGTCCAGCCAGCGCGTAGCGCGGCGACGTTTGCTCGTCAACCTATTTCGTCGCGACGTGGCACCGTTTCACTGCTGGCGAAATCGTCGTCGTCGTCGTCGCGGCCTCCGCTTCGGAGTGTACTCAATTGCTCCGGCTGTGCACACCGAGCACACAAACGTTCTCCCCCAGCCTTTTTCCTCTTCTTTCCGAGCTCCAACCGGAAGCTCACTCTAGAAAGAAAGCCCGGTTCGATCCTCGCGATCGCGCCGTCATTCTGGTAACTAACAAGCGAGCCGACCCTGCTCGCACGAAGCTGGATCGCGTGTCGGAATGCGATCCGGGTGTGAGGATCCCTTTTGAGAAATTAGAGCAGTGGAAACTCTCTCTTCGCTAGTGCACCGGTGCTCCAAAGTATCGCATGTACGTCGAGTTCGTAGATTTAGCCCTTTCACGCACAGCTGCACAGGAACGAAATGCCGGAGAATGCATCGTGCTAACTTTTTAATGTTGCGACAAAGGGATCCTTGCGTTCCTGCTGTAACATTCGATCTTAAACTTTGCAACGTTCATCGTTGTTCTGCAACTATTATTATATTATATTATATATATAATATTAATAAATTTGAGAAAAATGAAGATGTTCGCTTTTTCTACNTAATAGTTGCAGAACAACGATGAACGTTGCAAAGTTTAAGATCGAATGTTACAGCAGGAACGCAAGGATCCCTTTGTCGCAACATTAAAAAGTATATATATATATATATAGTTTTATTTAAAAGTAGAAAAAGCGAACATCTTCATTTTTCTCAAATTTATTAATATTATATATATAATATAATATAATAATAGTTGCAGAACAACGATGAACGTTGCAAAGTTTAAGATCGAATGTTACAGCAGGAACGCAAGGATCCCTTTGTCGCAACATTAAAAAGTATATATATATATATATAGTTTTATTTAAAAGTAGAAAAAGCGAACATCTTCATTTTTCTCAAATTTATTAATATTATATATATAATATAATATAATAATAGTTGCAGAACAACGATGAACGTTGCAAAGTTTAAGATCGAATGTTACAGCAGGAACGCAAGGATCCCTTTGTCGCAACATTAAAAAGTATATATATATATATATAGTTTTATTTAAAAGTAGAAAAAGCGAACATCTTCATTTTTCTCAAATTTATTAATATTATATATATAATATAATATAATAATAGTTGCAGAACAACGATGAACGTTGCAAAGTTTAAGATCGAATGTTACAGCAGGAACGCAAGGATCCCTTTGTCGCAACATTAAAAAGTATATATATATATATATAGTTTTATTTAAAAGTAGAAAAAGCGAACATCTTCATTTTTCTCAAATTTATTAATATTATATATATAATATAATATAATAATAGTTGCAGAACAACGATGAACGTTGCAAAGTTTAAGATCGAATGTTACAGCAGGAACGCAAGGATCCCTTTGTCGCAACATTAAAAAGTATATATATATATATATAGTTTTATTTAAAAGTAGAAAAAGCGAACATCTTCATTTTTCTCAAATTTTTTCGATTTTGTTACGGATCTGCCGAATAATATTGTATAAATACTTGTGAACTAAAAAATGAACCTGTACTGTAAAAGGACTGGTAAAGCTCGTTATTGAAATTAATAATAATAGTTAGAACAACGGTGAACGTTGCAAAGTTTAAGATCGAATGGTACAGCAGAAACGCAAGGATCCCTTCGTCGCAACATTAAAAAGTTAGCACGATGCATTCTCCGGCATTTCGTTCCTGAGCAGCTGTGCGTGAAATATTTATTATATAAGGGCTATATATACAGGGTGTCCCAAAGCAGTGACCAATAAGAATCGAGTACGGCTGACGCGAGGCGGCCCAGCCAACCAGCGCGCGAAGCCCAGTTCCGCTCATTGGCTCGATCGCCTCGCGCCAGCCGAGCTCGCCTCTCATTGGTCACTGTTTTTCGTTAATAACTCGTTAACGGTGCCTCGGAGAAAATTTTTGTAAAGGAAGAAATTGCTTCGAATGAAATTGCTCTCATGTTCAAACTTTGTCAGTGTATTCTGTGGCACAAAGTAAGAAAAAAATGTTATGTAAACATAGGTTATATAGAGCTTCATTAAGAAGTTATAACAAAAATTCAGAATAGGAATAGTAATCAACTTGCTGTTACTGCCAGCATTGGCTTGAATAGATCAGTACATGCACGGTAGACATCAAAATGTCTACCGTTGTTGACAAATGCATGATTGACATCGATCGAAGATCGAATTTATGACCGTGCGAATTTCGTTTCTATTCTCTTTCATTTCATTGAACGAATTTTTGTTATAACTTCTTAATAAAGCTCAATACGACCTATGTTTACATAACATTTTTTTCTTACCTTGTGCCATAGAATATACTGACAAAGTTTGAACATTAAAACCTGGGACACTTTGTATATATATTATATAATAGAAATAAAACTAAGTAATTTCAACTCTTATTTTTCTTAGTAGTTTCTTATACTCAGCTCGTCGCGATTTAAAACTTTTCCGGGTTTTTTTCCGCGTGTTCTCGCTGTCCAATGGCAATAGACACTGGACCAGAAAGAGTCAACATACATTGTTCGATATAAAATCGAAGACGTTATACATATCGAACATAACGGATACAAAAAGGAATAAATGATTGAGGAGTGCGGAGATACGTAAAGTTCTAAGAGACGACAGAGAAATATTAAAGAGATCTATGCATTTCAGTTATGCAATTTTGCTACCCCTGCGAGCTTCCGCTTCTATAAATATGGAGGAGTTCGATGTTACGCAGTCACTTAGATGGTACTCCCAGCTTTCAAAGTTGTAATATGGGCGTACAATCAATTATGCCGTTTACGGTTTTGAATAGAAAGACTAAATCCGCAAAGGTTCTTCGTTGCTTGAGCGAAGATATGACTGGTAAGCTAAGAACGGGGTCGTAATTGTATAAGAGGAGAGACCCGGGTTCAATTACTTTGACGGATGCATAACTTAGGAATTTATGCTGTACTGTTCTTGGCATATCAGAATAGCATCGCTGAGCTGGCTTCCGTATTTGAGAGGAATTTCCAAAGTGAGGAAGAACCATTGCTGAGAACGGAACATTAACACTAGAAGCTACCAAACCAGTCAAAATGTCTGCTTTCTGATCTTTTCTCCTACACTTCCTGACATTTTAAAAATGCTTCTCTACGACGAATTCTTTAGATAATTTTCTGCATCGAAGCATATATTATGATAGAAATGATACGAAGTTTAAATAAACCTGATCTTGTTATTACCATAAAGAAATATAGGGCGTCCCAAAATTATTGTACAAGCGGGACATGAAGAGTTCCTGAGGTATATTATAATAGAAATGATACGAAGTTTATATATATATATAAGTAAATCTAATCTTTTCATTACTATAGAGAAATACAGGGTGTCCCAAAATTATTGTACAAACGGGAAATAAGGTTCTTGAGTTCATTTGAAGTAACTTCTTCCTTATCGAAAATGCGATCCGCGGTTTTGTTTACGAGTTATTAACGAAAAACAGTGGACCAATGAGAGGCGAGATCGGCTGGCGCGAGACGGCCTATGAGCAAAACTAGACTCCGTGCACTAGTTAGCTGCCCCGCCTCGCGCTGACCTAGCTCGCCGCTCATTGGTCAGTGTTTTTCGTTGNAAAAATGCTTCTCTACGACGAATTCTTTAGATAATTTTCTGCATCGAAGCATATATTATGATAGAAATGATACGAAGTTTAAATAAACCTGATCTTGTTATTACCATAAAGAAATATAGGGCGTCCCAAAATTATTGTACAAGCGGGACATGAAGAGTTCCTGAGGTATATTATAATAGAAATGATACGAAGTTTATATATATATATAAGTAAATCTAATCTTTTCATTACTATAGAGAAATACAGGGTGTCCCAAAATTATTGTACAAACGGGAAATAAGGTTCTTGAGTTCATTTGAAGTAACTTCTTCCTTATCGAAAATGCGATCCGCGGTTTTGTTTACGAGTTATTAACGAAAAACAGTGGACCAATGAGAGGCGAGATCGGCTGGCGCGAGACGGCCTATGAGCAAAACTAGACTCCGTGCACTAGTTAGCTGCCCCGCCTCGCGCTGACCTAGCTCGCCGCTCATTGGTCAGTGTTTTTCGTTGATAACTCGTAAACGAAGCCGCGGATTGCATTTTCGCTAAGAAAAAAGATACTTCAAATGATCTCAGGAACCCCTCATTTCTCGCTCGTACAATAATTTCGGAGCGCCCTGTGTACATCAATCGTGTTTTAGGTTCGGTAGTTCTAGTGTTAAAAGTAGAAAATGTAATAAATGTCGATTGAATGCGCGTCAAAAATCCGCGAGCTTTGGATGCTGAGAGCGATCCTATTAAGAGCGACACGCGAAAAGCGATCGAGCTCGGAATCTTGACGACGATCGCCTAACGATCCGAGCGACCGGGTGATACGTAGGTAGCGTAATCAAACCGAAATCTTTGGCGAGGCTCCTTTCGCGCGCCAGGATCCCGAAGGAGCCAGGAAACTTCGAAGAAGGAGGGCGCCGCGTTCCGAGCAGTTTCAGGAGTTTCCGAAATTTCATTTACGTACCACTTCGACATATTAGGACGTGCTGTTCGCGCGTAATTTTACGTAATTACGCAAACTAAGTGGAAACCTTGACGCGTTCGCATCGCGCGCCTTCGGATCGAGCCGGGATACATCTTCGTCACCGTGGAACGAGCCGAGCTGCGATGCGGCGCGTCGTTAGGCGAACGTTTTCATATTCCCCGACACGCCTAATGCACTCGGGGAAATTCGTTTCGTTGCAGAGCATCCGGCGGCGATGCATCACGGACACGGCGACAGGATATCCGCCGGGCTGATCACTATGGTTCTGCTGCTCTCGGTGGTCATCTAGCCGGCGCTGAATCCTCGCGAGCCGCCATGATGGAGCACAACGAGATCATTGTAAATATCATCGTTCGCAGAACGTTTCGCTCAGTTTCAATTTCACTTGTAATTTCGACCGTTCGGTTGTTGCAATTGAAATGGCCGTTTTTCGAAATTCAAACTTTCTTCCTCTTTTATACCGATTTAGTTCCTTCGCTGCGCATCGCATTGCGCGCGCATAATGTGAAACAGTAGTTGTGAAAAGAAGATACTGTAAGTATCCGAATCATCAGGCATTGAAAAATTTCATTCTACTGACGCGAACCTCAAAAATTATACTTCGCGACCATAAGCCGTCAGTTATGGAGAGTATCATTGTAAAAAATATAACTGAAGCACATTTAATTGTTCGGAAAATCGCAGAAGAGACGAATGTTCATTGTTCAAACTGTTACAAGATTAGCAGAATCGAAGTTGAAAATACTTCCTCACAGACTGCCATATTTTGAAGCACCTCGATCATTTTTTGATTGGAAAACTGTTCGGAGAAGAAGTCGACGCAAAGCCTGCATTTAACGAATTTATCGTCTCTCGTTCTTTCAATTTTGTTCAAATTGCAACACGTCGAAGAAAAGTGTATCGAAATCGAAGGAGACTGTTTCGATTCAAGAAATATTCATGAAGTTCGTGAAATAAAAGTTTAACACGGAAACTCGAGAACGGCTGTTTTCGCTTGCAACAACTTAATAGAAATTTACGAGGCTAACCGTAAATATTTGCGACACGAGGTTACCGTAATTCGCTGGAAATTTTCGACACGTTCAGTGCAGCAACCCAATGCTCTTGCAGCGCTCGGGCACTTCAAGCCTAAACTTCACGACGCCGGTTACAACCGATACTTCGAACCGAGCATCAACGACCAGCATAGAGCGGCAACTGCAAAACCATACGACCCTCTCGTAATCGTTCCCGCGAGATTAGCTCGGCGAATAGAGTGCACCCCACGATATGAGAAACTGCCGGTCGTCGTAATCGTTTCTGCCGGATTCCGAGGGACACGCGGAATCGGATAGCGAGTTTCACAGGTCTCGGCAATCGAGCCGGCATTCGATTAAATAAAAACACGTACGGAAACCCTGTCGGGAACCGTCGCCGGGGCGGTCCAATAATAAACTTGCTTCGCCCTGTTCTCGGAAGTTTCGCATTGTTCCGGCGCGGCGTCTCGTCTCGATACGTTCACCTCGAGGAGAATAAGCGACTTTGGGGTCACGGTGTATCGCAGAGAACTTGTTACATTTCTGTTCGCTATCGCTGGAAATAGAAAGCGTTCCGGAGGAAACCTGTTGTCTCGTCTCGTCTCGTCCCTCGCGAGCAATCAATTTCCCGTTCGCGGGGACAATTAATTTATCGATTTATCGATTATCCCCGCTGAAAGCCATAGTGGACCGAATCGAATTTCGGGATGTTTTGTCGTAAAAGTCGGATTTTCCGTGTCGAGATCTGTTCGGCTTCCGTTGATTTTCTCTGCTCGATGGATCCTACGCGATGAAAATAACCGTATGTTCACGCTTTGCACTCGAATGGTTGCCGATACGGCAACGCTAAATTATTAGTACTGTAATGTGATCATGTTAAACACGTAAATAAATATTGGAATTATATATAATGATTAAGTTAATATGATTAAGTGATTAAATTAAATAATTATTACATTTCTGAACTTTTGATTACTACTTTCTATTCATCAAGAAAGGCACTTGTTTCGTTAGTTTACTTTCGTTACAATGGGTAAGATTTACGATCCTTGTATTTTTCAACCGGGTTTCCTATGGACTAAGGAAGGTATAAAATATGTTTTTTCTTTTTACATATGTGCTCTCGGCCGGAGAAGACAAAATACATCGTCGCATGCCTTCACGATTAAATCATATTGGATGGTAAATAAACAGCTACCTGCCGCATGAATTTTTCAATTCAACAGATAGTCTGAAATTCGACGATATAAAAACGCGCAATCTATGATTCGTTAATTCCTATGAAATTTCTTAGCAGTGTAACGATTTCAATTCGACTTTGTACAGCGGAATCACAATTTCTGAAGAATTTGCTCCGAGTTGCCGACACATCGGAGAAACCATCCGAGTGCAAAAGGTCGGAAGTGTGTTTCGCGATTGCGTTAGTTCGTAGAAATCCGGGAAATTGCGTCGTATTATTTCGTCGCGAGGTGTACGCGGATGCTTCCACGGGGGAAAAAACGCAGGGAGAATCGCGATAACGCGACAGAGCTTACGGAGCGACTGCTCCGCGAGTCCGTGAACGAGATTCTTTCTTCAAATAAAATTGCGCGCCGACTATAGTTATAGTAGGTACACGGTGTGTGTGCGGCGCGCTGCGAGAGTGGAAGATCGCTTGCTCGACGGCCCACGGCTAAGGAAAAACGCTGTTGGGAGGGATTAAGGGAAGAAACGGAGGAACGGTTTACTGCAAAGTAAGCTGTGTACGGCTATTTCTACTGATTACTACTTAGTCTTGCCCTCTTTACAGAAACGTTTGAACCGTCCTGATTACAGCGGCCCGCGATTACTTGCCCCTTTCAGCTGCTTCTACCCTGTTTACGCTTTCCGCGGTACCGAGGCAGAAGGCATAAGTCGCCTCGCTGCACGTCGTTGCCCTCCGCCGGCAAATAATTCACCGAATAATCGCGCAACCATGTTACGCTGCAATGAAAATGAAAATAATCCCGCGGCTCTCGCGAAACCTCTCCCGTTTCCGGAATATTTCTCGCCGATTCGTTTTTCTTTTTCGTATTCTGTCCGCGCAGCACCGTCCACAGCCACGTTACTTCGACGCTCGAAACTCCGCTCCTATCAACGGACTGCGGTTCTTCGTGGAAAAGTTTTCTGCGTCGATTGTGTCGAGCAACAGGAATTGAATCGTTTATCACAGCCCGGTCGGTTCGAATACTTCAACGCTCGCGGACGATAGCGCGCGTTCGAAAGCAGTTCCGCGCATCTCGTAACTTCTGTTATCGTAACGACGATTGTTGCTTTCATCCGGTGCATAATAGGTTCCGTTGCACTCGTGGGACCAGGAAACTTAGGCGAAGTCTGACGGTCCAATTTATCCTGATCAGCAGCTACTCTTCGGAGACTGAGAACGAAGAGCGAAACGCTTTGGTCGTAGCTCGTCGGAAATAGAGAACGCGTGCTCGCTGCCAGCGTGTCTCGTAACGAATCGTTCTTTGACCCTCAACCGGATTTTGGGATGGCCGCGGCGGTCCCGCGCGACTTTGGACGAGTCATGCGTTAACGTACGTTTATGCAATTATTTAAAAATTCACGCAGACCTGTATTAACCCATCGAGCACGATGTTCGTGCAGCGCGTTGGACTCTCGTGTCGTTCCCGTATTTATGGAGAATTTTTACAATTCTCCATACTTGGATGAAGTCCTCGAGATGCAAATGGCACAGAATGTATACGAAGTCTTCGAATAAATTGCAAGGATGTTCTGCAGCTCAGGTAACCCTCTTCTAACACGGTAGATACAGTGATTCTTATTAATATTCGGACATCATGCTATTCAAACAATTGTTGCTGGATTCGATTGTTTGTAAATTTGGTGTTCTTGTTTTATAATATAATAAATCATTCACTGTAGTTTGTAATAACGTAAATTTTATTTATTTATTGCACATACTTTTCGTAATACCAAACAATGAACTAAATAATGTTGAAATTTAACGTCGCAAAAATATTCGGACACAACTTATTCTCGCATTTCTTGCGGAAAACGACACACTTTAGCCGTTTGTTTACAAGCATAATGTCGAGCAAGATGAAGAACACACTTCACAATATCAGTTACTGTTCGAAAGTAGTTAGGATCAGTTAGAAATTCCAAGTATAGGACGAGAAAGTACAAATACCTCATTTGACGTATGACAATTAGTAATTTTTCACCGAGGAAAAGAGAAAACGTGTCGAGAAATCGGTACGGAGATATAATGAAGAAAATCGAATTGAATCAATTCCTCAAAAAGGATATATATATAATTTATTTTTTATTTATATTTATTATATATTATTTATTTATTTATATTATATTAGTTATTTTGAGTAGTATTTTGAGAAAAGTGAAAGTGGACTCCGGTTTAAGTGCTCCAACATTAAGTGCTGAATTATTTCAAGAGACAGGAAAGCAAGTTCATCCAGATACAATACATTTTTTTTAAATTCCATATAAGCACCTTAACTTTTACGAAAAACATAAATGTATGTATAATACAAAACGAAAAGAAGAAACAAAAAATATTATTTTTCATTTAATGTAACCTTAATTTAATAAACTTCTTCCTTGTCACTACTCAGTACAATCAAACGAGAATGTTTTTTTCGGTTAAACGATATCATCTTCACTTTCCGAATCTTTTTCTTCGTTCAAATTTTTTGCATCTTCTGTCATCTTCAAAAAATCTGTAATTTTTGTTTGTTTGCTGGTTCTTACAATGTCATCGTAGATTTCGTGGTATGAAGATAGACAATTTTGCAGCTCCCTTTTGAATTTTCGGTTTCTTTCAGCGGAAGGATATATATTTATATACGCTTAATTATAATAATTATGTTTTCATGTAAAGGCACTATAGTTCATCATTTCTCCCCGTCATTATTTTAAGATAATTTAGTTCTTAAATATATTAAACAAAAATCATGCTATCCCCAGTGCTGTAGAAGTACAGTGTCGTGCAAAGGTTTTTGCAATTTTCTTATCGTGTTAGAGCAAAACAGTAGTATAGATTACAGTGCTATACGAGGGTTCCCGCAATTTATCCTATCGCCTTAGACCGAAAGCGTTTTAAATATAAAACGCTAAAATCCTATAATAATATAATAGGATGCCATGTTACAAGGGAGCTACCTGTATTACCTAACCCGCACGCTATATGCAGTTTTTTTATTTTTAATTCTTATTTCTCTTTTAATTCTCTTTTTTAACACTTATTTTCATTTGTTCGTTCTATTGTACTTTGTCTTGGCCTCCAAATATTAACATCTTAAAATTTCCGAATATATCAGGTCTACCGGAAAGTTCTGTCCGTTTGAGAAATAATAGATTTTTCATAAATTTAGTAATATTTATTGTACAATATAATTTCCGTCGTTACTTATGACGGCGTGATGGCAATTTGTGAGCAATATTTTTCAAAATATATGTCTCAAATGAACTTGTGCATACTTATTGAAATTTGCAATGACATTATCGGACAGAATAATTTAGTTTCCACTAAAATTGACCCATAGTATTTAAATCGTTCACTCAATTACTCAATTAAAGCGTTATAGGATGCCGTGTTGTAAGAGCTACCTGTACTTGTAAAATAAATAGCTAAAAAAGCAGAAATAATTTCACAGCGTGACGATCTAATTGTTACTATCGTCGGCCGCACGATAAGATACCATAAATTATGCGTCGACCTTAACTTACTTGCACTTATTAATTTTGTAACATGGAACATTTATCGAAGCAATAACATCATCGGACATTTACGTAAATGGCGAATGTGGGGGAGGGGTTCGGTGGATATTCGAGGAAATCGATCGGTTACGATGCGAGAGGTCCCCGCGGTTCGAGTCTCGCGTAATCAAAATGTGTTTAACCCTAGAAAGATAACCATATGACAACGTACGTAAAAGATAACCATACGCTTCAGAGGCGCATGCTTTTCTAAGGCGTCAATTTTATACTAACAATGGATATTTATTTAAGTTAATCTAGTCATTTTAAAGGTTTGGCATTATTGTAAAAATAAAATGCATTTATATTATATTTCTTTATATTTTAAGTAATTTTAAACTTAAATCACTAGACCTCTATGAAAAATTAACAAAAATCAACAGTCTTCGCAGGCGCCTCTGCGACGTAGGTTATCTTTCTCGGGTTAAAGAACACTCAAACATAGAATGTAATAACCGTTTGCAGTAAAGTTGGTGGTTCCATATCCTTTTACATTACATAATCGTGGCTTTCATATTTCCTCCTTGAAATTGTCGCATGATAAATAAGAAATAGTCTTGTAGAATCAGCTGGGGGCAGCAGCGTGCCTGGGAAATCGTTTATGCAACTGTAATCGACAGCCCGGTTGAGGGTTAATGTTTCGTTTGCGTGTGTGTAACGCGACACAGTGCTCCACGTTTCCATAAAGCCAGCCTGTTTACACGATATTCCATTAATTATATGGATTCGCAAATAATATCGATCCGAATCTACGATAATGCAGCAATTTGTCAACATCTGATACAGGTACATTCGTTCGGAGAACAACGTGGAAATGCGTTTACAAGGAAGATCTTTTTGCAAGGAACGACTCCTTGGGAAATTTCAGTGGCTCTGTGGAAATTCGATGGAGAGACACGCGTCGGCTTGTTTCGGAGGTGACTGTCGTAGTTGCAGTAAGTAGCGTAAAGAATAATCCTTGAACGCGTACGGCAGAGGAGAACCCAACGGCGATGCCAAAGGAAACCGTTCAAAGTACAAAAGTGAAGGAACAGAAGGCAGCAGAGACGCGTGAAACACAATATATTTAGAATTCCATGTATAGCGTGTGTCTTTCACCTGAATCGTAACGATTAGCGGAGAAACCTTCATTGTACGTCGCGCATAACGCACTGTACATAACGGATGCACCCTCGTGTGCCTAAGTCATCGGTCGCCTGGTCATTAGGACGATGCATTTCTAGTAACCGTATGATCAGTACGCAAACTACCTAACGAAAAGTCCAACTATTCGACAAAGTATACAGAGAAAAATCCAACGTGCCGCTAATGATCTCGAAAACGATGGAACTCTAAGCCTCGTTTCAAAAAAAAGGATCTTCTATCTGTCTAATATTGACTTCGATTCAATAAAATGCTGGACTTGCAATTGTTTTTGGAGAACAGAAAATTAAAAACTGCAATCTTGCGTCTTCTCCGTGTCCATACACGCTGAACGAGCTAAAATAATTTGACATTAGCTGATTCGAGTGGCCGGCGACTTATGTACGCGAGTATGCACCGTCAGCGAGCATTTTTTATAGAGTCCGTCAACGGAGATCAGCGTCTCGTAGTTTGTAAAGATAAGCGACGTTATTATAGCTCGACTGTTCGCGGTGTAAGAACTTTTTTACGAATGTACATAAGTAAAGAACTCTCTCACTTCCTCGTTGTAACGACACGTTAGGTTAAACAACGGATCCAGTCCGGTGCGGGCGCGGGCGACAGCTTTTGCTCCGAAGATGTTCCGATTTTCGATTCATTCGAAAGGTCTCCGAACTTCTCATCTCGACGGAGAACGCGTCGAGAGTCGGAGAGACGTCTCGCAGCTCGGAACTAGGCGACAATTGCAGTTTGTTCGTCGTCTAAGAAGCGATGTCGGAGGAACAAAATTCTGTCGATCTTGGATATGCGGAATTGACGAAAGACTTAGCCCGTGCCTGTACGAATCGGTCGATTACGGATCTCGAGAGCGATTAAAGGGAACGATCGACACGAGCCGGTGTGGCAATTGCGGTGGTTGTTCCGTTTGACGCGTTCAGCGCCACGTCGGTCACATATGGGTGACACTAATTTTTCGCCAATTTTGAAAATTCATTGTCATTGTAATATATTCGAACAAACTGAAGTTGACTAGGTTGTTTCGAATGCGAAAGAGTTCTAATGTCGTCCGCTATTATAAGCACTAACTTTTTAGTTTCGGTCTAATTCATTAAATTGCATTGATTTCATGGCAATTTTAGTGGTCACAATTGTCGGCGCTGAACGTGTTGAACAACTTTCGAGAAATATTGTATGTCGCGATGGAATTTCTATCCTCGTCCGTGGAAATGTTATGATGAAATACAGACAACGAAAACCAAAAAATGACTTCTTGTTATCATTCACCGGCGCGTTCTCTGCCAAAAGCGAAACTGTGATCATTTTCATCGCCGATTACTGAACAGATCTTTTCATTCGTATCTGGCCGAACGAGATTGTCGGGTTCTGCAGTTAAAAATAGCTTAAACGTTTTAATTGAGTTGTTGCGCTTTCCAAGTCCACGTTGAAAGGCCGCTTCTGCTGGTTGAGAAAGGGAGGATGGAAAGGGCAAGGTATTAAGAAATCGTGGAACGCGGACGGTATTTTCCCGCATCATTAAACCGCGAACAAAAAGTGTATACTCTGGGAGCGGGCTCCGGAATGAAAACAGAAAGATGGCGCGACGAAAGGGCAAGGGGATGAAGAGGACGGCGTGGGTGGGGTGGAGAGGAGGAAGGGCGGCGTCCAAGTGCACGCCTACGGCGGGCGAAATCTAACGGAAGATTGAAGAGAGGGTGACCGGTTGATGTTACAAAGCGGAGAACGCGCGAGAAAGTCTCGCTGGAAAGAGAGGTAATTAGCGTCAGTCGACTCTCGGATTAATTAAAACGGCTCCTTGAAAACGCGACGTCTATGGTAACTCGAAACGAGGGGAGAAAGGGTTTGGCGGAGCCAGCGAGCCGGCTATTTCGCTGCCGCTGAAACCGGGGGATCCCTGCCAAATAGAATCGACCGGTTTCGAGGGAAAATTAGCCTCGATCGTTTTGCTCCTCCTGCGATTCCTTCGTTCCCATCCGTTTGCAGATTTTCAGCGAAACGGCGCGCGTCGCACAGTGGGCCGAGCCGCGATTCTAGCAAATTGAAATTCAATTTTTCTGGAACTTTTACTGCTTAACGTACAGCTTGCCCAAGATCCTAAATCCCTATTCATGCCCAAATGAAGTTCCATACGGTAGGATGAATTTTTTAAGTAGACGAATAACCTTGAAAATCAGTTGAAATATAAAGAATACAGAACGGTGCTCGGCTCTTTGGGTATTTGTAATAAAGTAAGGTAATACACGTTGTTTGTGTATTCTTTAAATTTCAACTCATTTTTTAATTGCCAGGGTCATCCCAGGTTCCCAGGGTCACAATATTATAAGTCGCTAAAATCGTCTTGATGCAAGCAATATCACGCTATAAAAAAAAAAAACAAAAAGTAAAGAGCGTGTGGCCGATTCCTGAGGTCGTTTAAGGTAATTATTTACTTAGCGAAAATGCAATCCGCGCCATAATATAGGACATAATTATGGAGCACCCTGTATACACAAATGTTTCTAATTGCTATCGTCTCAAGAAGTAGAGTTCGTCGGTTTTTGTCGGTTTTTGTCTTCGGTAAACGACAATTGAATTATTTTGCCGTTCGGTGATTTTGTGCATAAAAGTATGAACTTTCTTTGAATCGATTTTCGAAGCGTTTACAGATTTTTTGTTCATATCAGATCGCTACACTTAAAAATTGCCAATTTTCCACTTCATGCAATTTAGTTTCTCGACGAAAAGTATAGAGATTTGCGCGGATTTGTCATTCGCTTTGCGTCACTTTGTTAATTAGGTTATGTTCTCTAATTCCTGCAAAGTGGAAGTGCGAAGCATTCGCGAACTATTGTGTAAGTAAATTTTTTACTTTGGAGTCACTCGTAAAGAGTGATTAAGATTTGTGTGGCCAATAGTACTTGCCCGTAGAAGTTAAAAATGTCTAATAATCATAAATCTTATAACTAATACTTTTTCATATTTTTAACGTAAAGTGAACTACGATGCTGAACCTGTGCGTCTTTATCCGCGGGAACGGAGAAACGTTCCATTCAAACGTATATGAACGTTTTCCTGCGTAAAAAAGTACATATACATATATTAATCAATTGATAATTTAATTAACAATTGATAAATACAATGCCCCCGTCAATTCGACTGAAAGAGATTTCCAAAACTAAACATTAAGAGAATTAAAAAGCAATCTTTTCGCGATTAAAACAGTTGAAAACATAACAATCGGTACCTTCCGTTAAAAAAAATACCGTAACAATTAACATCGAAAGCAGCATTCGACGAGTATAATTTTTTATTCGCTAGAATCGCGCGGTGAGTCGCGTCACCGCCCGCAGCCCCGCCACAAAATATTCCACCGTAATCGCGAACGCGATTCTATTCGTAAATAATAAAAATTGCCCGCATTCGTTACGAGGTGCCGCGCAGATATCTCTGTCAGTCGGCTCTAAGAAATTGCCGGCACTTTCAGATAAGCCCGGTAATTGCGACGGTAGCCGTGCGGCAGTTTAGCAGACGCAGGAAGCAACTCTGATTGTGAGGTCTTTCCGGTCGAGAGAAGGGAACGTCTGCAAAGTTTCATCGCGGGGTGGCGCGAGCGACCAGCTGCCTGCAAAGATTCCCCGTCCGATTGTTCCCGAAAAACTGGGGGAACTTTTAATTGGCTGATATTAAGACGGAAAGTGCTCGAATGGTGCCGGACAGTCCGCAAAGTTCGCGCATCCTTTAGGACCCGCGAAGGATCCTGGAGAAAATTTTTCGCAGGATTAACGGGCCCGCGGCGTGTCGCCCGCTGACCGAGACGGGATAAGCGGAACGTGACAGGACAGCACTCAGCGTTTCAGCGTGTTTCGAAACACTTGTTAAGCTCTCCTTGGTCCTGAAATTTCATCGCTGGTCCCCGGTCGCGAAAATATTCGAAGTCTCCGCTCGTTACCTTTATTTCATCCGGCGGAACTTTAATCCCGGCGAGGACCGGAACCGAAGTTCGACCGACTCGAAAATACGAAATTGAATATAATGCGATGTTACGAGGAAAATTTCCATAATTTCCCGGACGTTCCCGGCGCGGAGGAGTTCGCCGGATCGTTTAGCCGGTCTTGCACCTCTATTTCCCGGCGTATCGACTTCGTCGCGGCCGCGGTACCTGCGGCAGTTTAATTATTATGATCTGGCCGCGAACGTAACGCGCGGGGAGAGCTTTTCTAAAAATTAATCCACGGCCCCGTCCAATTTCCAGCGCGGTTCCGTTTAATAAACTCCTCGCGCGTTTTCGCCGGGACATCTTGCGTCTTATCAAGCGACCGGCGCTACGCCCGGGGTTTCCATTTCCGTTCTACATTCGCGTTAATGAATAAAATTTAATTAAAAAGTTGCCCGAAAGTTCCGCGAAACAAATAGCAGCCGCGGTGAAAAGAAGTTCTAATTGGAAGCCCGACAGATTGTGTTCCACGCAATTATTTTTCCGGGATTCCTTCAGTTTCCGCGCGGCCGGAGCCCGGCTGCATTATCTCGCCGGGAAACTCGAATCAACGTCGATCCGTCCCGTCGGTTTGCTTCCCAGCAATTCGCCGCCGATAAACCTCTTAAACATTGTCCCGGCAAACTCTATTAGCCGGCCGAAGTAAACCGAGGAGTGGCGGCGCGAGTGCTATTTAAATCCCTTCAAACTCCTCGAACCGAGTCGGCGAACCGGTGCCTTTCGGTCCTCGTCTTTCCGCCAACGGCCCGGCCCGAAATCCTTGGATCGTGGAAAAACTGCGAAAGCGTCGATGGCGAAGTTTCAGCTCGTAGATACATCGGTGTTTCTAGAGTTTGGAAACGTTTCTTGCTTCGAGGCTTCTCCGCTTTCCTCCGGCTGAACGATTTCAATGAAACTGGACTTCGGTTGCGATTCGCGAAATAATAACGCGAACGTTTGTTTATCGTCATGCGTCGTAGACGCAAGGGCGAATTAAATGGAATTGAATGGAACGTTGCGAATTTTGAAATAAAATTGCTCTTTGATTTGGACAGAAAAAGTAACTGCGACTTTTTTTCGCAATACGATAGCGCCAATGCTGGCGGTACGTGATAAAAACGCAAGGGTTACTTTAAAGTGCTGTAACTTCGCGAAAAAAGATCGCAGCCGTATTTCTCTTGTTTTTAAATTAATGGGCGAAGATCAAACTTCGTTCGACTGCAAACCGCATGTCGGAAAAACATTTTACTAAATCGGTACATTTCGTCAAACTTGGCAATTTTTTATATGATATAAACACCACTTTATATGCCTCAGATTTAAAGGGTTGCAGTGGTGAGGATGTATCAGACATAATAACCAGAAATAGTGCCTCAAAGTAGAGGCTTCGAACCTTAAGTTGAACGGAAGACCGTCATGCTACGATGATTTTTCGCGGAGTTATCGTCGGTCAAAGTTGGCCGATTTTTATCCAAAATTGTTCTATGCTATCATTTTTTTGAGCAGTGTATATACTTTTCAAAGGCATTTAGTTTAAGTTCAGCTTAGACCTTTATTAAAATAGATCACTATTTAAAAAATTCTCGGATATATTTCATTCTCGATTACAATCTCGTTGTTGGCTAAAGTTTGTCGGTGCAATCTGGAGTCGGCGAGATGCTATCTGTGAATAGCGTGTCGAAGAAATATGTGTCGGTGTTTTCCATGGGACCCTCCTGCAGACATCGGGTTCGGAGGAGATCTCGAGCTCGAGAGACACTACTGCGGGTGATTCGAGACCCTTCGAGGGTCCCTACGAATTCCTCGGGGTTGCTGGAGTCCTCTCGAGGATCTCCAGGGACTGCTGGATATTCCAAAGGCCCTCGATTGAAGGGCCTGAATCGTGACGCTCGCCGCAGGGCCAGTCGTGACCTCTGGGGATCTCTGAGCGTCTTACAGACGCTTCGAGAGCCTCTACGAAATTCTGCTAATCCCCGGAGGTGCTCTAATCCTGCAGTCCTCCAATTAGTAGGCCGTGGATAGGCTATGGAACCGCAGTAAAGCGTAATTTACTGTTTAATCTTTTAGGTACGGCTGAATTCTGCGCGAGGCTATTTCTCTGGACGGCAGAGTCTGATATTTACTGTACAAAGTCTGATACCGTATATTCTGTCTGTATATCGTTCAGACTGTTGTAAATCGATGCGAAGACAAAAGAAGTGTGAAACAATGCATATGAAGACGATTATTTGATTCAAGCGATGAGCGAGTAAGTTATTGGGTTGGCAACTAAGTAATTGCCGATTTGTTCAATGAA